AACACACCCACACACACGCATGGACACAAATCTACGCATTCATGCACACACACACACACACACATACAAATAAACACAAACATATTTTCAGTATACTTAAATCAAACCCTCCAACGTTTAAATTTTGATTGAATAGCAATTAAAATTTAATGGTACAGATTGTGTTGCTGAGTCAACTGGCAGATTGATTTGATCGTTTTTCCAAGTATAGCTTCCGTTGTTGTTCTTTATGGTTGTTGTTATTTTCAGCTTTCTTGAACAGTCTTGAATCGAGTGTGTTGAATATTTGAATGACGGTAGAATATGATGCAGGTAGGTAGTTGAAGCGGATTAGTTTTTTGATGGGAGATTGTAGTTGCTGAAGTTGTTGTTGTGTAGCAAAACCAGACCAGGAGGGACCTGCATCTTTGACGTGTGAGATGATCAGTGATGTCGAATAATATGATGCCTTTGAGACCATGTGAGCAAAGTGTTTGAATGTGTGAAATGTTTGAAAGCTTTTTGTGACAGATGTGATTAATATGAGGTGCTACATTAAGAGTGGAGGTGAATGTGAGGTCTAATATTTTAAATTGATTCGTGTGAGAAATTGATGGGTGCTTTGGAGAAAATGCTATATTCTTGCGTCTATTTTGAACGATGAGTTCGAATGATTTATTGAGGTTAAGTGACAGGTCGCATTGTTTTGACTTGTAGTTAACGAGTCGAGTTCTGATTTGATGGTGTTTGAGTTAGATGATGGGATGATAAGGTAGGTGTCGTCAGCGTATTTGATGATTTGATTAGAGCTATGAAGAGTTTTGAGAGTAGAAGCATTGATGATAAAAGTTGATAGTCCAAGAACAGAACCTGGAACTACGCTAGAATTAATAGGTAATGTAGATGAAAGAGTAGAACTAAAAAAGTAGAATGACTCCTATTTAATAGTATTTATGGTTATGATAGATGATATAAATGATGAATGATGATGACAAAAATATATCTTTTGATGCATGTTTTTGATTTAATTCCTTGTGTGTCATATCGACTTTGTTTCTTTTTTCGTTAATTTTTTTCTAATTTAAATTTAGTGAATTTTTTTTTCATTTTGTTATTTATCAAATGTGCGCATGTATAAACAAGGGTTAATTTTAAACTTTTTCTGAATGTTGCTTAATTAAATGATTATGCGTGTGTGTTGTTGTTGTAACATGTCTGTGTGTCGATATATGTTTATTGTATATTATGTAAGTGTTGTATTTTAGTTTTTCGTTTTCTATCGTCTCTAAAAGGTGAGATGCTAAGTTTAGCTGCGAATAAACAAAAATATTGTCTATCATTGATATCGCTCATGATGCAAGCCAGACAGACACCAGTTTCTAGATAATAAAATAACAGAAGTAGAAACTGTTTCAGCAGCAGTCCTGTCTGGCGTTTACGACCGTACATTCGTTTGCACTATAGCAGAAATGATGTTTTCATATTAAAAAACAAGATAGCAATTTTCAATTAATGTTTAAGTTAAATTCTAATCATTTTCTTTTGAAAATCTTACGTAAATGAGCAGAAGCTAAGAAACTTAAGCCCTACACAGTGTTCTTGTTCGAGTTGCGATTAAATGTTACACAATTTCTATGCCAATTTTATAAATTTCGGTTTCAAATTGTTACAGCTTCATAACGGTGGCAATATTTTTCTAATTTTAAATATAAAAATACAGGTTTCTATATGGAAATATTAAAACAAATAAGCCGAAAATGGCTGTTAACAACGGGAAAATTTTTTGATATCGACACCGTGAATAAATAATCACGTAAGAATTTTTAAAATTATTTTTGAAAATTAAAATTCTCGTCACAAAATTTGAAGAAATAAATTAAAATTATATATTCAAGTTGAAGTCTTATCGGATTAAAAAAAAACATTTTATATTTCAAGGAAGTTTTGCATTTTATGCTTGGATTATTTACTTTTAATTTAATTTTGAAAAATTTTATTTCTCAATTTTGATTTTAAATTTTAGTTAAAACGAAAAATATAAATTCATTTCAAAATATTTTTACCGAATTCTACAAACTGGCTTAAAGATCTATTTTGCTATAAAAGATAAAAACATTTAAAAAACAGTGAAATATTTTTTAAAGGTTTAATTTAATCAAAAATTTAAGTTCAAAAGTTTTTTCTAACTAAATACTAACTGGATATTCAAGGTAAATCTATCTTTCTCATGATGTTCTCACTATAGAGATTGTATCGGTCTGGAGAGAATACACAGCATTGCCTTACATCTTTTTTTTATTTCGACAAAACTAATCATCATCTTGTTACTAATTTTTATTGTTGTTCTTTGTTTCCAATAAAAGTTTTCGCATTTCTAAATATTTCATATTTAGATTTATTTATGTCTTTCGTCAATAACTGAAAGCGATTCCGTCCTTTAACGTTATACTTGAACTTGATCTCATCATTTTGCGACAGACTGAAAAAACTCAAACGTTTTGCGGCCACTTCACTTTAGATTTTATTTAACTTTATACTGATTTTACAAACAACTTTGTTATGATCACTGCCACAACCAGCTCCTTTTGCATTGTAAAACAGGATTTCGACATCGTCTATTTATTGCAACGTAATCAATCATATTTTTTACCTTGTCTCCGGAACTCTTTCAAGTATATTTTCTCCTTGGGTGATTGTCAAAACAGGTTTTGGTAATAATTTGATCATTTGTGACACACCATTCAATCAACTTTATTCTTTCTTCATTTTTTCCCCTATTTCATGATGACCAATCACGTCATGCATTTTGTCTCAGCCAACTTTTGAATTCAATTTTTGTATAAATCTAAACTATTCATAGTTAAATAATTGTTTTTTGATTGTAATGCCATCAAATGCCAGATGTTTTAGAAGTTTTGACGTTACAACAAAAATAAATGTCCGCAACATTAACGTGACCACAATGTAAATAAATGGTAAATTGAAGAGAGAGTGCTATTATGAAGAAAAAAAAGAGAGAGAGAAAGAAAGAGAGAGGGAGAGAGAGAGGGAGTTAAGTAATAAAGTAGTTAGCAAAATACGAAGCACGTTTTTAGGTTTGTAGGTCGGCATTGATTGAAAAGACTGCCAGAAGAATGAATGACGTTGACAATGGTGGTGATGATGGAGAAGGCGAGGAGAGCGCAGGTTGTGATTTGAAGTCGGCGTTCGAGCAACTGCTTGCCGCGGAGATGTGGTATGTAGTCACGAGCGTATGAACAACAAATTATTTTGAATTATATTAACTGAATTATTAACTAATTAATATTTTTGATATATATATATATATATATTTTAATGAAAATCACAGCATGTTTCATGTTGGTTAACTTACTGTTTAAACATTCAATTTTAGAGGAAGCTGGCTAACGCGGAACATGTTGTGATTTTCATCAATGATTTCATTTCTGACAGTCTTAGTCCATTATATATATATATATATATATATATATATATATATATATATATATATATATATATATATATATATATATATAGATACATACATCTATATATGTAGATTATTTACATCGTGTTCATGTTAACAGTTCTCTTCAATACTATTGTTTTGAAAAATAAAATACCTCGCATATATATATATATATATATATATATATACGCGTGCGTGTGCGCGCGTGTGTGTGTATGTGTGTGCGTGTTTTTGGAATTATAGAAGAAGACCATATTTTATATATAGAATACAGTGTATATAAATTTATGTTGGAGGGAGACCCTAATTGAAGCAATATTTGATAAAATCTACCGAATTTTTAGCCTTTGAAAGTTTACGGTTGAGCATTTCAATATTTCTAACAGTAATTTTATAATTATTATCCAATTTATTCATAAAAACCGTTGGTGAACCATAAACACCAACGATTTTTTAGTTATTATTATTTTACGTTGAACAAAGGCGAAGACGAAACGTCCGTGTGCCTTCTCAAAACAAGGACAATTTTAAAACAATAAATTAAATAAACCTATGAGTCTATAATGAATAAAATAATTAATGTTCTTATAAGTCAAATAATGTATTAAACCATTTTTAAAAAAATATAAAAAAAATGAAAAAAAAACAAATATAAATAAATTAATCACATATCCTTATCAATAAATTGACGATACATACTGATAAAAAATTCGAATATATCCCAATCTCACAAAAAGCCAATGTCACATTAAGTATCATTTGCCCTCCAGTCATACATAAACCTGGCATTCATAAGATAATTATCCAACCTTTTTTTAAAATCATTCACACTATCAGCATTCACAACTTCAATACCCAGATTGTTCCAGATATAAATTGATCTATTGATAAATTTAATCAATTTGAAGATTGATTAATTGATCTATTGATTAATATAATTAATTTTAATAATTTAAATAATATTATTATAAATATAGGGTTAGAAATATTAAATAAAATCAACCGAAAACTTCAAATATTGCACACACACACACACACACACACACACACACACACACACACACACACACACACACACACACACACACACACACACACACACATATATATATATATATATATATATATATATATATATACTACAATACTCATCGCTGACGTATCACGCACAAGCACAAATTTGATATTGTCAGTTAGTTTCATTAAACATTCACCTTTTGAACCAGATGACAACCTTCATACTTTATTGTTACCAAGTTTCAAATAATTTCTGAAACTGGAAACTTACTTAATTCTTCACTATAAAAAGTGTCTCTTCGATTTAAATTTGCTGAATGATTATTGTACTTGGTGCTGAAAATTGGTGTTTATCTATACATGAACATGAACTGAAGAATGGATGGAAGAGAGCAGGCATATCTGGAGCAGTTCACTCTTCTTAAATATGCACACGGTTTTACCATTGGTTAGGTGATTGCAGAATGTCTTAGATCACTTTCCATCTTTCTTCAACTTATCTATCATCCGTTAATTTGTTGAGTTGATGGTGAACTCATGACGTCATCAGGAAATGAACTGCCATCTTGTCCTTCACCCACTCCTGTTCGCTGGCGGTCATGTGTTTGAATGCTTTGTGCCGCTTGCTGCGTGGTTTGCCGTACTTGTGGGGCAGCTGATGCTCGTTCGATGATCTTCTGTCGTTGGATGGCCTTCTGCCCTCCTTTGTGATCAGTGCCAGAGTCAAGTCGTTGGCTGAGTTGAAGCTAGTGATGTCATTACTATTTCTTCTTGTGCTGTTGATGTTTGTGCTGCTGAGGCTGTTGTTATTTATGTTGTTATCTGTGTTGCTTTGTGTGCCACCGTTTGCGCTGATGTCGTTGCTGACCTTGTTGAAAATACCACTGATAAGGTGAAGAGACGTATGTTGAGAATTGTTAGTGGAGCTAGTAGCATTGTGTTTATCGTTAGCAACATTTTTCTCCTTCTTGTGGCCGTCAACATCGAAAGTGTGGGATTTATCATTTGTATTGTCATTTGTGTAGTTGTTTGGGTCGTTTGTGTTGCTTTGTGTGTTGTTGTTTTTGTTGTTATTAGTGCTGTTGTATGTGTAACAATTTGTTTCGTCGTTGTTCGCATGAACGTCGTCGTCGTTGTTTGTTTTGTTGTTGTTGTTGATGTTGTTGTTGTTGTTGATGTTGTTGTTGTTATCAAATTGTTGAAAAAAGAAATTGTTACTTTCAATGTTTTGATTGGCATCATCCAGAGAAAGGAGCAACACGTTCAGCTGGCCAGCAACCAAGAAGCCCTCATTTTGATGATCACCTAGGTTTGTGAGGTTGCCGCTGGCTTCAAAGACGTCATCATCGTCATTTTCATTGTTGGTTTTGTTTCTATCTTTAATAATGTTTTTAGACTTATTATTAAAACTCCCATCGGAATCTTGAATGCTGTTGTTGTTGTTGTTATTGTTGTTTATGTTGTTATTATTTTCTGCCCGCAAGTTATTAATCTTGCCCATGTTATTAGCATCATCCTCTTCCAGAGCAGCAGCAGTTGGAGGTTTGAAATGGTGGAGAGTGACGACCTCATCCATCTTCTGAATCGTGCTGTAACATTTTTTCTTCGCAGCTGCAGATGCTGTTCCAATCACCGAGACTTGAGTTGACCTTCGCGTTCTGCCCTTTGGATTGTTCTTCTCAGGAACTTTCCTGCAATGTGTAACTGAGGCGAAACAGATTTTCATTCTATCGGCGAATGCGTTCCTAAAATCTCTACTCATGGTGCAGTAGACGACGAAGTTGACGGAGTAGCTGATGAGGATCATGAGGTTGATGATTGAAGAGGCGTTCCTGAATATGTTGGGAGTGAGTAGTTCTGACTCCATCATGTTTCCAATGTTGTAGATGACAATGAGGACGGCAAGAGGCAGCTCGGCCAGCAGAAACAAGCCAACGACCACAACCATCATGCGAGTTGTACACGTGCACTCTATTTTTCTTCGCCTCTGCTCTGATAAGTTCGCATGTTTGTTCATCGCTAATATTTTGGTCTTTGTTGTTGTTAACATGGAGAATGATTCGTGTGCCGGCTTTCTTATTATACATTTTTGTTGTGAAGATGTGGCTACACATGGTTGTCGTCGTGTGGTAGAAGTGGTGGCGGTAGTAGATGTAGAAAGATTTGAATTCGTTGTATCAATTGTGATCATTGATGCGGCGGTCGTTTTTGTAGCGAATGTTGTGGTTGTGGTTTTGACAATTTTTCCTACTAATTCACCTTGGTCTCCAACAGTCGTATGATGTTTGAGTGTCGACTCTGCTAGGGTTTCTGTAGGAGCCACCACATTTTCATGCTTTTCATTTTTGTCCGAAGAACCACTGCTGTTCTTAATTTGTTCGACTTTGGTAGCCTCACTTTCAGCAACATTAACGTATCTCATATCACAGATCAGTTTGTGTTCCACCAGCTGACAGCCATCAGATTTAAGATTTATTTTTAAATTATTTTCTTGGTTGATTTTAATCATGTTTTGATTGAGATTCGACTGAGACAGAGACGGTTGCCTGTTGTGGTGTTGCTGCAACAATCTGCAACGACGTGCACTCGCCTGCCTGAGAGCGAGGATGAGAAATGTGTTGAGTATGACGAGCGAGGCACAGGGAAGGATGTGGACAAAGATGACGCGAGCCCAGTAGTAA